TTGGATACGCATGGCATTCTCCACGTCGGTCGACTTGACAATGGACTCTATACACTTTCGTCTCCCGTAGTATTGGGTCGCAACCCTCAAGCTCACAAGGCCTCTTTATCCACTTGGTATGCTCGCCTTGGCCATGCCTCTATCAAGGCAATTCAACAAGCTTTGAAGCATTTTGAATTATATGCGTTTACCTCATTATCTTCTACTCTATTCCATAACCGTAGTTTAAGCAAAATTCACAAACTTACATTCCCTCGGTCCACTTTCTTGGCCTAAGAACCATTAGAGTTAGTTTGCTCGGATGCTTGGGGTCCTTCTCCTATTCCATTCATTGATGAATTTTCTTATTATGTGCATTTTTATGATCATTTTAGCAAGTATTGTTGGTTGTTTTTCCTTCAATATAAATCATAAGTGCTAAGTTCTTTCATTAAATTCGGACACATGGTAGAAAAACACTTTGCAAACCCATCAAACAATTTCAATCCGACTAGGGTGGTGAATACCAAGCCCTAACCAAATACTTAAATGAAAATGTTACCTCCCAAAGCATAGTGCATGTCCCAAAGCTCTAGAACAAATGGTCATGCTCGAACGTAAACATCACCACATTATTGAAACCGGCCTAGCTCTTCTTACTTACGCATCCGTCCCTCTTGAGTTATGGACTTATGCATTCGATGTTGCAATCCACACCATAAATAGATTACTTACACCTCGTTTGTAAAATCGATGCCCTTACTCGGTTCTCTTTGGCACTCTTCTATTATATAAGGAACTCAAATTATTTGGTTGCCCTTATTATCCCCGATTACGTCCTTATGCAAAACACAAACTTACACCTCGTTCTTCTACTTGCATTTTCTTGGGTTATAGCAAAATTCATAAAGGGTATATCCGTTATGATCTTTCTTCAAAAAAAATCTTTATCTCACGTCATGTCTTGTTTGATGAACGTGTCTTTCCCTTGCACCGTCGATGAAGAACTCACCCGTGTCAAACAATCCCTCCGCAACTAGGTCCCTCATTAGTCTCGTACCCACTCTTGACCGTAATAAAGCTTCACCACACCAATAATCTCCAGTCATAAAAATGCCTCTACGTAACCAACCTCGGCTTCTATCAATCCACATTACCGATTTATTAAAAATAGACAACTCGCTACATTTATAAATTAGCTAACCATCAAACCCAAGCCTTCCTCTAACCCAATGAGCCCACCTCAATTCCCTCTTTCCTCACTAAAACCCATAATTGATAGCCCAACACATTCCCCTTTCACTCTAGCTCGTCGGCCTTCAAATAGGCCATCCACTAGGCCCGACTCAACCCACTCGCCATATACGTTTGCCCCACCCATATAACAAATTTACACCTAGCCCATTAAGCTCAAGCCCATCCCCACACATTAACCCACAGTCCCACATATATCCTAACCCTCCCATCTCACTTACCATAGACCTAACACCTTATAACATTTCTCCTCAATTGCTAGCTACCTCCCAAGCTCTATCTCCTCAAATCCCAACCCCTACCCTAATGCCGGACCCTCTTAATAATGTCGAGCCACCACATCCATACCAATGATCCACAACCACCAAATTCCTCGATGGCAATGCTCACACCTTTCCTCTACCGACCACGACACCAACCTTGGACCCATCACTTATAGTTTCACGACACCCAAAGACTCGCTCCTACCACTACGACCCGAGCCACATCAACTCCAACTACACCATTAGCTACCTCAACACCATCACCAAACGTCCTTGGTCTACCGGATCCACCACACGTCCCTCGTCGCTCCCGGTCATCACATAGTGACCCGTTCAAAAAATAGGGCACCTTAAGCCATATACATACTCCATAAAACTCACTCTAACAGCTCTATCCTTCTACTCCCAAGCACATTCCGACCCTCAATAGCGTGAGGCAATATCGAGCAAATTTTAGTCATTAATTGCCAATGATACTTGGGATCTTGTCCCACCTCAACCCAACTATAACATTATCAATAATAGGTGGGTCTACAAAGTAAACACAAAGACGGATAGATCCCTCGACGGATACAAGGCAAGATTGGTTGTTAAGGGATTCAACCAACGTCTAGGAGTTGACTTTTTTATACTTACGATCCAGTAATCAAATCAATTACCTTGCATTTGGTACTTTCTCTTGCTATTTCTTTGGGTTGGTAGGTATAACAATTAGACATTTTCAATACATTCTTGCATGCTCCACTCGAGGATGATGTGTATATGTCATAACCGCAAAGCTTTGTTGACTTCGATAGACCCACACACATATACAGAGTTGAAGAAGTCTTTATATGGCCTTAAACAAGCACCACGACAAGTGGTTTCAATGCCTCACGTAAAAGCCGACATCCATAGGTTTCAAGGGATCACAAATTGACATTTCATTGTTCTACAAATCCTCCGGTTCGGATACTCGTTTTGTCTTATTTATGTTGACGACTTGGTAATAGCTAGTAGCGACAATAAGTTAATCATGTCTCCGATTTTAGCATTGCAAACTTGTTTTCCCGTAAAACACCCGATAGACTCAAGTATTTGATTGGCATAAAGTCTGAATGGGGGCCTTCGGGTCTATTTTTGCACCAAAAGAAATACACAAGTGAACTCCTACAACGAGCCAAAATGTATTAGGCCAATGGTCTAGGCACTCCTGCTCGCACAAACAACAAATTACACGTAACATGAGGAACCTATATACCGACCCTTCTATATCCGTAGTCTTGTTAGTGGCTTGTAGTACCTTATGATTACTCGCTCGATATTGCCTACTTTGGGAATAAAGTTGCTCGATATATGCGTTCTCCCTCGGATGCCCACCGGATCGCGTTGAAATGCATTCTTTACTATCTTCAAGCTACAAAGACTTATGGCTCGCATCTTCAACGATCCCCGATCTCTCATTTATAGCCTATACTCGATTTGAATTGGGAGGTGATGTTGAAAATCGTAAAAGCACGTCTAGATATGTGATTTATTTGGGTAAGAATCTAATCTCATGGCGTTCTCGTAAGCAACATATGGTTGCTCATTCTTCCACGAAGCGAATATCGAGCTTTGACGAGTAGCTCGCTCTAAAGTTGATTGGATAGAATCTCTTCTCAAAGAAATTGGTTTTCTTATTGGCAAATCACCTACATTATGGTGTGATAATGTGTCCGCCATATATCTAACAAATGCACCAATTTTCTATTCCATATCAAAGCACTTGGAAATCAACTTCCCTTTTATACGTGACAAAGTTCAAAAAGGTTTGCTCCGTGTATGTTATCTTCCTATAATTGATCGGATTGCGAACATTCTCACCAAGCCACTGTTCAAATCCTAATTTCGAATCTTCGTAGCAAGTCGCACGTTCTTCCGAGCCCCGCTCAACTTGACGGAGGGTGATAAGGATAAATTAATTAATGAAGTTATCCTTCTTAAACTTTGTAATTGATATTACATATCCTTTATAACTCCGTAACTAGTAGTAGAGTCCTAATATACTATGTAACTATTGTGTTCATCTACTCGCTTCTATTTTAGTATATAAGTAACACTCGCTGCTATAAAGTTAATTGTGAGAGTTAATAAAACCTTTACAATCCCCAATCGTAGCAATACCAACATGCTCTCTCAATGCTCCATCCGAGTTAAGCTTCACCCAACCCGAAGGAGGTCCGACCTAGCCAACCAACCTTTCTATCCTTAAAGTTGATTGCTTTGATAACGGGGCATCCATGTTCATGCTAGACACAATATCTCAAAAAAAAAAAACATGAATAACCTCCAATTGATCTGTGAGGCACGACAAAGGCTTCATAAAAAATACTTTTGTTTCTCTAATTCCATAAGAACCAACAACACATCCCAAACTAAACTCTCCAAGAATTAGCGTTGACATGTGCGGATTTGGTTATTTTTAGATTAAACCAAACCCAATCTTTAAGCTCCATATTAAAGAAACCATCAATCATATTGGTCGCCCCTACCTCTTACCACGACTCGGAAGCAACCGAACAATCACGTTAGACATGGATCACCGTCCCTTAACTTCTATGGCAACGTGGATAAAATGGGTTAATAGCTAGACTTCTCTTGAATCTTTGTATGTTAGTAAGCAACCGACCACGTATCGTTAACCGTAGAAAAGTACGGATGCATTGAGACCCTTTCTATTGCCAAATCGATTCTATTTCTCAATCGGATTATTTGTAGCTAAACTGATAAAGCAATCTCTTAATAATAATTTTGCTGAGTTTATTTATAAAATAAACCAATCTAATATACTATTTGTAAAATTCACCTAAATACCTTCGCATATCAATCAAATATCAATAAGAGTATGGTGGCATATGCAGTTTGATTGTAAAAATGAATGCACCGTTCCTTTTCTTTAATTGGAGAAGAAAAGGGATTTAAAGAGTCATAAAAAAACACACGCATAGATGATAAATATGAATAGTTTAAAAAGAAAAATAAAATATCCATATATAACAATCAATCGATACAAAAATATATTTATCATAAAAGACAATAACAATATGAGCCATAAATTATTACCAAAAGCAAAATAGAAGGGTGAATAGTATAATTAAGAAAAAAAACGTAGAAATACAAGAAGGAAATTACGTGAGAAAGGTCGAATTGGGGACCATTTACCATCTCAACATCTTGCCCTCGGACATCCCGTTCGGAGTTGATGATAGAGACTGTAATGAAATTTGATGCCAACTTACGGATGCATGGTGTGGGCCATGCCATGATGCCTCTCCTTTCTCTGCCTATAAATACCACCCTCCATCCTCACTGATAGGAACTCTCTTCTCAGGTCTCAACTTCCCCACATGCTTTCTCTACATTGGAGTGTGTGCGCGTTTTCATCAAAATATATTAAGTTGAAAAAAAGGGGAAATTGAGAAGAAGTTTTTTTTAGCTGTGATTTTTTTTTCGATCAAATTCCATTGCTGTAGCTAATAGAAAATGTCTCATGATGCAATACGAGCAACCAATGAAGAAAGCCGAGACCAAGAAATTTTTTCTCCAAAACTCGATGGAAAAAAACTTTCTTGGCAAAAGTTGCGTCGAAACGACTCTTTGGAAATGGAATCCGGCAAGTTTTCTGGTCGTCGAGTCCACGGCTCCAAGGTTCACCTTCTTTTTTGTTTACCATGTGACAAAATAAAAACATGGGATTTAAACATAAATCAATTCAATCTTTTAGTAATTCGATCCTGCTAGCTAATTACGATAGCAGATTGCTTTTTCTTTTTCTTTTTTAGTCTAAAATGAGAGATGGAGTAATTATATTTTTTGCATTGCTAGTAATGAAAAACTAAAGTCTGACTTCTTTTTTTGTTTTCCCAAAGGGTGTAAGCTGGACAGTGATCTTGCAACTAGCATTCCAAAGTATAGGAATAGTGTATGGAGATATTGGTACATCACCTCTATACGTATACGCCAGCACCTTCACCAAGGGCATCAAGCACAACGATGACATCCTGGGTGTACTCTCTTTGATTTTCTATACACTCACCTTGATCCCTCTTATCAAGTACGTGTTAATCGTCTTACAGGCCAATGATAACGGCGACGGTAAGCTCTGGTGGATCCAGATAGGCCACTGTTATTGTTTTTTGTTTATCCTTAGTTTATGTTGACTTATAATAGTCTGTGTTTATAAAATTTGAGATTAACACAACATATTTAATTAATTAATTTATTATTCGATCCCTTTCTGGTTCTGATTGATTTTTGATGGAACATCATGATACCTTTTATTTTCCTTTTACAAACTATTGCTCCAAATGACGTTTTTATTTTTTCCAAAATTATTATTTTTATTCAAATGATCAGATGTTCTGGTATATACTTTTAGATTTCAGACGATCTTACCATCATTAATTTCAAGATTCATGGTATTCTGGTGTTAATTACAGTACCAGTTGAATTAATTTGTAGCACACACTAGAAACAATGTGAAGTTTGTAAAAAAGAAAAAAAAGTCAATAGGAAGTTCCTGGAATATTAGCATTAATAGAAAGAAAAACCACGGGTGTTAAGTGAGCAATTGCCATTTGGCCCTTAAAAATTAGCATTAGCTCTACAGGGATTGGTGTTTTCAACTTTTCATACCATTTTGATCTTTATATTTTTGCGTACACAAACGCATCAGGAGCAGGAAAATGAAGATTGAAGGGTGCCGAGCGGCCTTTGGCGTAAAACATAATAATAGTTGAGGATTAATATATTAGTTTGGTACCCACAGATGGGGCCAGAATTATGACTTATGAGCACTATTATTTTAACCATTTGTGAAGTTTATGAATTCAGTAAAATTTATATGTAGCCAGGAAAGTGGGCCAAATGGCACAGAATATGCCTAGGATACATGAACCTATGCCGATCGATTGAGAGGTTTTAGTCAATATTTAAAGCGTATGAGCAATTAGAAATTGAAAAATAGCATCCTCCTATGCCGATCCGATCGATTGAGAGGTTTTAGTTAATATTTTAAGGTTTGATTAAATCTTATTAATCTGGAAAATAAAAAATAAACATTACTCCTATCTGACACCGTGGCGTGTGTGGTAACTTTGCCTATTCCAGGAGGGACTTTTGCCTTGTACTCACTCATATGCCGATATGCCAAGGTGGGTCTGCTCCCGAGTCAACAAGTTGAAGACTGCGATGTATCCAATTTCCAGCTGGAGTTGCCGAGCAAGCGCTTACGTAGGGCATCGAGGCTCAAATCTAAGCTAGAAAACAGCAAATTCGCTAAGCTATTCCTCTTGTTTTCGACAATGCTTGGTACTTCCATGGTCATTGGGGATGGTGTGCTTACTCCTTGCATCTCAGGTTCGACTCCATCCTTTGTTTAGATAGAGAATTTTTATTTATTTAACTATTTGCTAATTCATGATTAAATATTTGAAACTCGACAATATCATTCAATTTTAGGACTGTCACCGGAATTTACTACTTTATAGAAATATGATAAAAATTTATTGATGTTACGTTCGAATGTAGGAGCAATTTTTGTTGTCGGTAACTGGAATGGTCAAGTTAGCTTTTTTATTTTTATTTTTGAATGGTTGGAGTGGCAGTGACAAAAGCAACAGAGTTAGAAATTTGACATTTAAACCACAGTTCTACTTTTGTTATATTCTCATAAGGCGGCCCGGCTGATCCTATATGTATGCTGTTACTAGGTTTTTTTTTTGGGTAATTTTGGTCCATGCTACGCTTGTCCTTTCTCGAGGAATCTGTTGGAAACAAACTTGTAATTTTCTTCTCTTGTGATGACTTTGGACTAAGAAACATATCTCCTCCTAATTGATTGCAGTTTTATCGGCGGTTGGTGGAATCAAGGAAGCTACATCAGTAATGACCCAAGGTACAAATTATGAGCATGTGCATATTTTATACCGCGTACTTTGACAATCGAGCTCAAGAAAAAAGCTAGCATTGAAACTCGTGTCTTTGGACTACTCCGGTCTCCATAGGTTTTGGCAGCACGTTAAATGCAATCTTTCCCATATTTTAGGGTATTTTAATATTTGGAGATTCAAATCTGAAATCTTGGTAAATTCAAAACCTACCTTCTCGAAATAAATTGTTTGTTATAAAGGAATCTATGCAATTATATTGCCCATCCAACTTATCGTTTGATTATTTAGTTTGATTTTGTTTTGATTAATTGAATTAGCTAAAACAAAAATTAAAATCGAATTAAATTAGGATTTAGTTTTTCGATTAAAAAACTAAATTTTTCAATTTGGTTTTTGTTTAAAAATCAATTTTTTTTGCATATTTTCTTCTGAATTTTTATTTTTCTCTTAAATTAAGCTGAAAAGGTATTTTTTTTGTATTTTTTTTTAATTTTCAAGAAATGCTAATAGTTTAAATTGAAGTTTTAACAAATAAAATCATAGAAAAATGTTAAGATTAGAGTTTGGGTGATCTCTTGTCTACTAAAAATTTAAATATAATAGCTTAAATAGTGCTAATCTATAATTAATTCGGTACTAAAGAGTTTATAACCTAGTAATTGTGATCTTTTATAAGAAGTCACTGGTTTAAATCCTAAAAGATTAGTTCTACTAGGAGTTTTGGATAAATGTTAAAAAAAAAAAACACCAAGTAGGTTTTTAGTTGAAACCGAATTAAAAAAAAAAAAAACGAATTGAACCGAAATGATTTTGGTTTTCGGTTTTGATTTTCTTTTTCAAATTTTTTTATACAAAACCAAATCGAAATTACTACTTTAATTTGGCTCGATTTGTTTTTTAATTTTAACATAATAGTGCTCACTCCTACCTCCTAATGGTTGCCTAGTTCATTGAGTTACAAAAGTTGTTAATATAGAATATATTGTTAGTCTTTTGAAATAAAATTTCTTCCACACAACGTACGGATTGAAGTGCTTAAGAGGGAGTATCCAGTTCTCTAACTGATCCATCAAAGTCCTAATGGAGTTTTAAATTAACCCAAAAGCATAAAAAAAAAAAAAAAAAAAAAAAAAAAAAAAAAAAACTTCATTTGAATATATATCTAAAAAGTTAACTGATCATACTGTTGAATCTTGTGCATACAGATCGGGTCGTTTGGATATCTGTAGCGATCTTGGTCTGCCTATTCATGGTTCAGAGATTTGGAACAGATAAAGTGGGCTACAGTTTTGCACCAATAATTTGTGTTTGGTTCTCGTTCATTGGTGGCATTGGCGTATACAATTTCTTCAAATATGATCCAGCAGTTGTCAAAGCTTTAAATCCTTTTTACATAGTAGATTATTTCAGGAGGAACAAAAAAGATGCATGGATTTCCCTTGGTGGCGTTGTCCTTGCCATAACAGGTTATATTTCTTTCAGTTAAAACAAAAATTATTGCCGATTATATATGAACGAGCTTCGAAAAATTTGCTAAGTACCACTATTTAAAAATTTGCAGGAACTGAAGCACTATTCGCTGATGTCGGTCATTTCACAGTTCGTTCCATTCAAATAAGCATGTGCACTGTGACGTACCCTGCTCTCATATTGGCATATGCTGGACAAGCCGCCTTTCTTAGAAAACACAACGATCTTGTCTCAGATACCTTCTTCAAGTCTGTTCCAGGTTGGTGTATTTCCTTGTCTGTTAATTTTTCAGTCTTGTCATGATTTTTTAACCATTCAAGGCAACTGCATTATATACAGACTCATTGTACTGGCCAATGTTTGTGGTGGCCGTATTGGCATCAATCATCGCTAGTCAAGCCATGATTTCTGGGACATTCTCCATAATCCAACAATCATTAGCACTTGGATGTTTTCCTCGTGTGAAAATTGTGCACACATCGGCTAAGTATGAAGGGCAAGTCTACATCCCTGAAGTCAATTACCTTCTTATGGTGGCATGTGTCTGTGTCACGCTTGGTTTTAGGACCACTGCAAAGATTGGCAATGCATATGGTAATCCGCAGCTCTTCACAGATTATTTAAGCCTCTTTCAAATCCCAGATGATGCCACCCCAATTGATTTTAGTACATTCATTCTGCCAACAATTGGAGACTAATAATGAGTTTCTTTATACAGGGATTGCGGTGGTGTTTGTAATGACTCTCACATCATCCTTCCTAGTACTCATCATGCTAATGATATGGAAAACCAACATACTTTATGTAATTGTCTTTGTGCTTACAATTGGATCTGCGGAGCTTCTTTACTTAAGTTCTGTCCTCTACAAATTTGATCAAGGAGGATATCTACCGTTAGCATTTGCCGGAGTTCTAATGACCATAATGTACATCTGGAACAGTGTGTATCGAAGAAAGTACTATTATGAGCTTGATCACAAGATTTCTCCAGACAAGCTAAAAGAGGTTGCAGCGGAGACCAACTTTAGCAGGCTTCCTGGACTTGCCATCTTCTACTCCGAGCTTGTTCAGGGCATCCCACCCATCTTCAAGCACTACGTGGAAAATGTGCCTGCACTACACTCGGTCCTTGTTTTCGCTTCCATCAAGTCTCTGCCAATTAGCAAGGTTCCAGCCGAAGAACGTTTCCTTTTCCGTAGAGTTGAACCAAAGGAGCTCAACGTGTTTCGTTGTGTGGCCAGATATGGATACACGGATGCGCGCAATGAACATGAGCCTTTTGAGATAATGTTGGTCGAGAAATTGAAGGATTTCATCAGAAACGATTACTGGTTATCCAGTGTACTTATCGCCAATGGGGAGGAGACTGAGACGGAAGGAGAATTAAATGATGGACAAGTTGATGAAGATATGAACATGAAGCAAGCTGCTAAAAAAGAGAAGCAACAAGAGGTGGTAGAGACAGAGATTGAGATCATCGACAAAGCATGCCGTGCTGGTGTTGTTCACTTGATTGGCGAGAATGAAGTGATTGCAAGCAAAGGAGCGAGTTTGGGGAATAGGATTTTAATCGATTATGCTTTCAATTTTTTGAAGAAAAATTTGAGACAAAGTGAGAAGATGTTTGATATTCCTCACAAGCGCATGCTTAAAGTTGGTATGACTTATGAGCTGTAAAATAAAATCAAGCCCCTGATGGTCAGACTAGCTAGCCCAATTGATGCTCTAGATACTTAATTATAGTTACTACCCTTGAGGACCAATAGCAACAGATCAAGAGAACTGTATTAGGTCATGAAGCTCATCTTGACTTTGTAAAAAATAAACATATTTATGAATTATGAATATAAGAATATAATATCATATGTACATACATAGCATGTTGAATTGAGAACTTCTTACGATGAGTTAAGTCCTAATTTATCATACGCTTTCATGCTAGTATTGCACTTTTGTGTACATACGATACAAGGCAGTGATTTCTAACCGGCCGAGTGTTCAAAAGGAGAAGTTACTACTGGATCAGGGATTGGCTACCGGCTAACCAGTAGTCACCCAAGTGGCTACGTACAAAATATTTACTCTACACGCAGGTATTCCCAAATGTTCTTGTTAGTTAAAAGCCCTAATTTTTCTCAAACTAGTAATTCGGAGATCTGAATTATTCTGAATCCTTGCATGTTTAAGGGCTTAACCCACCTGAGTCTAGTTCGCAATTCTTAGCCCAAGTCTGGTTCATTTTATGGATGAAAACCTGATTCGCAAATGATCATGACTTACCTAATGTATATGGAGTCTGAAAACTTATTAATATTCTAGAATGAACAAACAAACACACACACACTCTAGCTTGTTTACCGTAAGAAGTAACTCCCTCTTAAAGACCATTCTCTCAACAAGTATTCTTCACGCTTCTCAACCAACCTGTCTTTTTTCTAACAAGATTAAATAAAAAAGGATTAATTTTTAGAATAAATTAATATTAAATTAAACATTATCAACATTAATCAAGAAACTAATTGATTAATTTTTAAAACTAGAGATATCAATTGATAATTAATTTACTCTCTTTTTTCTCCTTCTCTAGTAAGCATCAGCAACTTGGATTTTTTTTTTTTTAATAAACAAGCAAGTATATTAATGTGTTAATTATAACATATAAGTTCATGTTGTTAATAAAAACTAATTAATTATTCCTTATAGTATAAAAATATAATTAATAGTCTTTTAAAAAAATGTTGACCATTCTCAAATTTTCCAAGATAACTTTTTTTTTCCTAATAAATTTACCTGTCTCGCCTCTTTCTCTTTAATTTTCCTTTTATATTTATCAAAAAATAAAAAAAATCAGAAAAAATATTAAATATTAATTTGACAAAAAGAAAAAGTTACCAATGGATTTAAAGACTTAGAGAATAAATACATAATTTTTGAAACCATGAAGATTAGTAATCAATTTCTTAAATTCCAGATAATAGTTGCAACAAACTCGTTTGTTAATTAAGCACCGAGCAAAAGGCTTGGAGAAAAGAACAAAAATATGGCACCATAGAAATGCCAAGCACACATCAGTTTCGAAACTAGAACAAAGCTAGTAGAAACCAAATAAGTGCAGAGAAAATTACTGGAAGAGGACCTGCTGGATAGACAAGATCGATTGAGTTAAAAGCAACATTACCGTTGACAGGTAAAACGGTTGTTATAAATCAAATAATAAAGAAATGTTATTTCAATGTTGATCGAAGAAAGCGTATCCTTTAATAGGTGCAAAATTCCTACCACATTAAAGAGCTTTTTTTAACAGAATAAAGTTGTTAATTAGCTAAAAGAATTCAATTTTATTTATTTTTGATGAAATTCTTTATATATCTAAAATAAATGGAGAGTTCGTTCTTCAATTAAACAGTAAATAAACAGTAACTCCCCAGCTGTTCATTGCCTAAAAAAAGCTTAGCTTCTCCCATCCTCTTCGTATGCAAGTTCTTTCTTTTTCATTTTCTTTTATTTGTTGCCCTCTTTTTTATTATAATTGCATTTGTGCCATCGAGTGCCTTTATTTTATTACTTTTTGGCCCTTTTTTTTGTTGTTTTCCTTGCACCTTTGTTTGTCCTTTATAGACATTTCCTTTTCATATTTAACAAGGCATTTAATGCTTCTGATCTTCAATTTTCTTCTCTCTTTCTCGGCCCTTTTTGGTTCATTTGTCTCACTTTGTTTGTCTTTTTTGGACATTTTCTCTTCATTTTTTACATAGCATTTAATGCTCCTAATCTTGAATTTTCTTATCATCTTTCACATAGCATTTAAAACTTCTAATCTTGAATTTTCTTTTTTTTTTTTTTTTTTCTCTAGCCGCTAATGTCCAGAATGAGTTTGTTTGTAGAGGGGCGTTTCAATTTTTTTCATTTTCCATTTCCTCTTTTAAATTAAATGACTTTGGGATTAGGTTTATTGTTGTCTTTCTAAATCAACTTTTTAACTTTTGATTCCATTACCTCTCAAATTTTTTTTAACTCTCCATTTCAATCTTCTTGAATGGGTGTTTTTGTTTCTTTTCTTGATTCTATTTGGTTGATGTCTTATTTTGAATTTCTCTTATTGAGATTCTAATTCATCATTACTTCTCTAATTTTCATGTTTAGGTTGTTTGGATTGTTCTTTATTGACTCACATGGTTCATCTTGGTCATTGTTTTTTAGTTTTATTCTCAGACAAGGCATCTCAACATTTTTTTTCATTGTTTATTATATTTTCTTCCCCTCTCTAATTGTATGTGTTTTTTATTTATCAAAATAAAAAATATTCTTAAGATATATATATATATATAATTTTTTAATAAGGAATATTGATTCATTTCTATTTTATGTTGATATTTTTAAATTATTTAAAATATTAAAATATAAATATAATAAATTTGTCCGTAGCAACGCGCAAATAATAATCTAATACATATTAAATTACGAAAATAACTACATACGAATCATACTTTTACATGGAGTAGCAAAATAAATATAAATATTATATAATAATCTCCCCCGTATTTGATGAAATGCTTTAGACAAGAATCAATTATTGATGGTAATCAAATGACTGCATCCCTAAGATAATCTGCCCGTACAATATGGTGGCCGGCAAAATTACTTTTGCTTAGCCTGGCTAAATTGCACGCTTTACAACTTCACCACGTGTCCTGAGGCACATTGGCAGACATGCTAAACTGCTAGATGTCACATGGGGAAGTGCTCATACCCACTTTCGCTTTGTCCCATCCCGTTCGTGGGTTAAGGATACCAGTAGTGAAAGATAAAATTCTTCGTCGTCGTCGTCATCATCATTTTATATAAAATGTGTTCAAAATTAGTCCTCATCTTTTTTTCATAATGGTTAGATTAATATCTTATCCTGGATATCAAGTTGGAAGAAAATATATGGGCATTTGTATACACATTTTTTAGCTCATGAAGTAAGGCCACGAAGACGAAGACTCACTAGTTTTTGTAAAAGAAGAACGGAGTTGATTTCGCCAAGAAGTCCGTTACATCCAAAGTACAGCGTGTTGGAGATGTCTTTCTGCTTTCGTCTAGGTTTTCACCTAGCCTGTCTCAAATTAATCTTGTTCTTAATTCTCTCTAGATCTTTTGCAGTTATCAAGGAAATATCAGCTAGCTAGCATATATATGTAAAATGGCTAAAGCAAAATAGTTTGATGCCATACAAACTTCACAATATTACTTTAATAATAATACTTCTAGATCTATGATATCGTCCCTACCCTCTTAAGAATCTAGACAATATTGAGCAATCCTCACTTTCGGGAAGATGATCCAAAACGTTTATATAAAAAATTGCAGCATGATAGAGACTTGATGGGGTTTTTCACGACAAAGTAGGATATTTCGAGACAATTATAATCGTGGTCCCGGATCTAGGGCTTTTAAAAAAAACAAACCCTAACTATAGACAATATATCCTTCGGTCTGCCAGAATATTAAATTGCTACATACTAGTCACATATATGAATGGCGAAGGTAGACTAGACATGCATGAACCCAGGAAGGTGACTTCTAATAAATATTAATGAAAGGCCATAGACACGGTCACAGGGGACTTCCAGTCCTATCAATACTAGTTCCATGACACAGTAATCAGCACCAAAGATTAATTGGATGATTTATGGGGGTGAATATATATATCATTACCAGTGCATGATCACATACTTGACGAAAAATGTGTGCGTGTGTGAATAAGGAGACGGGAGAGATTTCAGACTGAAAAAAGTATTGTTTCTGAATATATATTTGAGCTGCAAAAGTTGCTAAAAAACAGTATAGATTCAAGTTTCAAAAGATTTCATGATTAATAATCGAAAAGAAATTGGAATGCGAACCGGTTTCAATCAGATTCAAATGGTTATTGAAATCATACGTTTACTTGTCAAAAAATATTCTAGCTCTCTGTGGGGGGGGGGGGGGGGGGGGGGTGGGTGTAGTCGATATGCATTAGAAATTCACTAGTTAACAGCAAAAATTGCGTTCCTAATAGATAATTTTCTTTTGTTTTCATAATTTTGGGAAACTATAAAACTTAAACTATAATTTTCCATCTGGGTTATTGGTTAAGTCTTTAAGGGGAAGACTCATTAAGCTTGAAATCTCCCAAATTATATCATTGTTTTCTTTGAAGAGGTAACAAATATCTATATTAGACTAGTCCTATTTACTAGAATACTTTAAAACTCACCTACAACATAGGTGCTCATAGGTGAGGTGGAGTCCCTACAAATTGTATATATAAAAGACACAATATTTCTTATTGGTATACGGTAGGTCTATCTATGCAAACTATTTTTTCTATAAAAAAGGTAGGTGCGGTGAAGTTTTTCCAAACTTTCTATTTTGTATATTAATGACGAGTTAGCTAATTCACCTTTTCTTTTACTAAAAAATTATTCTTAAAAGAAGTTAGTTTTTGTAGAATGAAAAATAGAATATTATTAATACCAAAGAAGGCATAAATACATCTCTATTTTCAAATTACAAATATACAAAATATAACAATGGTGGAAATTGAATCTTGCTACTTGAAAAAGAGTTTGACAATGTTGGATATTGGTATTCGAAGTATCAACTAGTCTTTTTTTATCAAATTGGACAAGTGAAACTCTCACACTCATTAG